TCATCGACGGGCTCGGACTCTTTACGCTCCACTCATTTCCAAACAAAAGAAAATAATCTACACCCACCTGAGAGTTCAAAAATCTAACTTGCAGCCCTGCTTCTCCGCGTCCTAATGCGTTTCGGCTCTCTGTCAGTTCACCCAAACCCTCGCTCTTCTTCCTACCGCTGAAAACCGAAGAAGAGATGCGATCTATTAGCGCGTACCCTTAGGCTCGCACTTGCCTGCACAATGCGTTCACGCTATTCTAATGGAGCCTGAATCTGCAGCACTCATGCGTCACATCAAAACCTAGCTCTCCTCACTCATGTCTTCTCTTCCATTTCCCATATCTTCTTTATTTTTCAATTTTTTTTCAGACTTTTATCAAATAAATTGATTTTTGAGGGCTCTGCTTTCTTTCATCCATCGACTATTATGCTGTTAACATGGGTAGGTTTAGCCTATGACAAGGTGTATATACTGTTTGCATATGCAAAAATGAAAGTTAAAGTTACTATCACCAAATAAAAGAGAAAAGTCTCAAGCGAAATTTAATTTTATGAAGAGCACGATATTAGCAATTTTAGCGGAAGCAACTTTGGCATAAATTATTAGGAGCAATTCATTGAAAGCTGCCGCGCATTAGTGAAAATGCCCAAATTCTTGAGTATTTTTCAACAACAAACAACATCAAAACATTGTACCCCAACTATGTGGGTCGCTACATGAACCTTTTTAACCACTTGTGTCTAGTTAAAAGTCAATTCATCATTATCGGTAATCGGAAGGCCTCCGTTTATGTGAACAAACCATCTAAAGTGACTCTTAATCTTACTTCACCTAGACTTACTCCAAACCTTTCACATATAGCTCATTTTGTATCCTATCTCTAAGCGTCAAAAGCTACTCATGCTACCTAAGCATCCTTCATCTCTGCAACACTTTAATAGTATTATGTTCTCTATTAATTGGCCAACATTCGCACCATAAAGCATGTATGTCTAACCACCATCGTATAGAAGTTTCCCTTAAGTCTGAGGACTTTTCAAAATGCACAATAAGCCCGATGCATTCCTCACTTCAACCATCCAATTTTGAATTCTGCTGTATAATATCCCCATCAATTTTCACCAATCACTCTGAAACAATAGATCAAATATCTAAAATGTGTACTCTTATTAAAACTTGATCGCCCAAAGTCACAATCCCTCACTTAGTCTATTGCCTACTTAAATATACAACGTCTCATATATTCGGTTTTAATCACTCAAGTGAACAACCTTTAAGCTCTAAAAGTACCTCCATATATTCAAGTTTACCTTCAACTCCCTTCTCTAGTGCTTATCAACAAGAAGAATTATCATCAACAAAAAGCGTACAACAAGTACATCCTCTTGCAAATATCTAAGA